TATTGTGATCAGTTTAGTTCTTGTGTAATTAGTTTAGTTTTAGTCTCGAACCACACACAAAAACATTCACATCTGATTTTGCATAACCAATCCAAATCACATTTAAATATAGTTTTAGATTTGATTAATAATTTCTGCAACTGAAAGACCCGGACCCAAGGAGTGTGCTTGTAAAATAACGATTTATAAAAACACGTGTGTCCGTTTCTGCTTGGAGTCCACTTTTCTGTCAGTGTTTTTTGATCTGTTATGTCTGTCTTCTCTCTCTCTGCAGGTGGGTACAGGTCTCGGTCCTACGCAAGAGTTCTATGCTCTGGTGTCTCAGGAGTTGCAGAGGGCTGATTTGGGTCTTTGGAGAGGAGAAGAAGTCTCTCTCTCCAATCCTAAAGGTAACTCGTACATTTGTCAAAATAAATTTGAGCACTGTTTTCAGTGTAATGCAAATAGCATCTTACTGCTGTTCCTAAAGTTTTTTTTTTTCTCTGTTTGTCCTGCCTCCCTCTCTCATTCTCTCTGTCTCCCACACACAACACACACACACACACCGTCTGTCTTGGAGCAGGGAGTCAGGAGGGTACCAAGTATATGTTCAGTTCCAGGGGTTTGTTTGCTGTACCGTTTGGACGAACTACCAAACCAGCTCACATCGCCAAGATCAAAATGAAGTTTCGTTTTCTTGGGAAACTCATGGCTAAAGCGATCATGGACTTCAGATTGGTATGTTTACTCTATTTGTGAACGTTTCCCAAAATCTCTGTATTAAAGATGTGCTACTAGATCTTGATGCTGGGAACAAATATTCTGGTTTGATTGCACACCAGGGCCAGAACGCCAGTTTTATTTTAGTATAATTGAGATTTTTTTATATTTGTGTTTACAATCGATTAAAAAAGTTAACTTATTAATCACACATGTTTCTGTAATTAATCACACCCAACATTAGTTTTTAAGTTGTAATAATTTCACATTTAATCGCCAAATTAATGTAGAAACAACATACAGTAGCCTATATTTTAAATAATTCTTTAATGGCATTATTTTTTTTTTTAAAGAAGGCCAATATCACTGATACCAATACTACTACTGATGTCTCTATGAAATTGATTTCTTCTCATTTTTAGACATCAATTACAGGCACTCAGCATTACATAATAATTAAAAGCTATTAATTTGAACATTTATTCTGCGTTTTAAAAAAATATGACTACTATTAATTTAAGTGAACTTAAAACATTCCTCACATTAAAGTTTTAGTAAATTATAACAACCCTCATTCACACAGAAGGCTCTCTGGCAGTTTTACAGAAGCAAAGTGTGAACGTGGCAACTGTCTGTATGAACTTTTTTATTTTGTGGGTTTATCCCAGACACAACAAATTAATGGTAGATTGCAGAATTTTGTTAATTGATGTCTTATTTTTTTTGTCTCCAGTTGGACTTGCCTCTAGGTTTGCCATTCTATAAGTGGATGCTGAGGCACGAGTCCTCCATCAGCTCTCACGACCTAGTTAACATTGATCCTGGTGTCGCCAAATCCATCCAGCACTTGGAGGACATCATCCGCCAGAAGAAGAGAATAGAGCAGGACAGATCACATGTGAGTTCTGACCCCTAACCTCTACATAAACACAACCATATATATTTTTCTAATTTATTGTATCTGTCTGTATTAGACGCGGGAGACCCTGCAGCAGGCCTTGGAGAGTCTCAACATGAACGGCTGCTCGGTGGAAGATCTAGGGTTGGACTTCACTCTGCCTGGATTCCCAAACATAGAGTTGAAAAAAGGGGGCAAAGACGTGCCAGTCACCATTCACAACCTGGAGGAATACCTCAGAGTAGGGGACCGAATAACATGACATGGCACATCATTTATGTAGTCTGAATGAACCGCTCTAACTTCTTTGCTTCTTGCTCCATTTGTCTGTAGTTGGTGGTCTACTGGACACTCAATGAGGGCGTCTCTCGGCAGTTTGAGTCGTTTAGGGAAGGATTCGAGTCTGTTTTTCCTTTGCAACACCTGCAGTACTTCTATCCTGAAGAGGTCAGTGCTTTCACTTCTATTCATTCAGCTGTTCACCTTAAGAGACAAGCACTGAATGTGCTAACCTACCTATTTTAAAGGGCTCATGAATTGAGAAATATCATTTTCACTGATCTTTTAACATTGTATGAGTTTGTTACTTTCACTGTTCATTCTGTTATCATATTTTATCTTTCTTTTACTAGAATAGTGCATTTTAGCCTAATGAACGTAAATTTCACCAAGATGGGAGGTTTTTACTTAATTTTATGTTATTTTGTCCATGAGAAAGACGCAGAGACGCAGTTTGCGGGGCGGATAATTGGATTCATGAATATTCCTGACCTGCGAATGTCCTGTAATAATGTTGGGAACCACTCGCTATACATGAATCATGTAGCAGTTCATGTTTTACTTGCATGTACGATTTAGTTTTAATTCAAATGTCACATGTTCTGAGTGAACGGTCAGCAATCAAGAGCATTCAACATAAGTTCTCTCTTTCTATCTACCATCAGATTCTTATAGTTATAGTTTCTTTGCCATTGACATTTGACCGAATTACAAACTTCGCACTTATGTTATGAGCACACATCCCTTTTTTATTGTCTTTTTATTGTTCCACTATTTAGATGCGTTTACTTCATAGAAACACTGCACACATGCTGCGTTGCATCAGTTGTTAGTATCAGAGCATTTTTATGAGTACACGATCGCAGTATGGATGTATCCCTAGTTATTTAAATAGATTAAATTATATACAGAAAGCAATCAAAGAATGCTCCCTTTGTAATCAATCACTTCAGCAGCGCAAGCTCTCACCAAAACTCACATTATAATCAACACCGTCTACACTGCACAAATCTCTTATTTACATCATGTTTGTGCTGTTATAATGAGTGCAGAAATCATGTTGCAATGGTGAGGTCATTCGTGTGCTCGACTGACGTATGAAACAGGAACGGGTCTAAATATAATTTTATCACCAACACTTTTAAAAATTAATTAATCTTGGCAGCTGTAATGTTTCATTAGCGTTCCAATCATAGCAGTAAGCATTTGCCATATAAAGAGGGCTAAAATCAGGGTGGAAATGGCCTTTATTTCTTGTGTGTGCTCTCCCTTTACAGCTGGATCAGTTGTTATGTGGCAGTAAGTCAGAGTCCTGGGATGTGAAGACACTAATGGAGTGCTGCAGACCAGACCACGGCTACACGCACGACAGGTATATAATCACACCGGCATGACTACAATACTTTTGCCCAGATTTACAGTCTGGAGTAGTCGGAGCCAGTCGGGGATGACAAAGTTAGCAGAAAATCACTCCATCCTTAAAGGCCATCCTTAAAAATATAATATTTTGGTCATGGTGATCGTGAATTTTTTTAAAAAAAAATGCATATTGTGACGTGACGTCACTGGGTCTTCAAAATGTGCATCCACCGCTAGGTGTTAATGCAACCTATGACTGGTTACATTTTAGGCCAGTCACAAAATATAAAATATCTGTTTGTTGTGCATATATACATGAGATAGCTAAAAACACATGGTCAAACAAAGAATACAATTAAACAAAGATACAAATTAGCCTATATACACAGTGCTTTAATTTCAGGAAGGTCTAAAATTAGCTACTTTTCAGTTAAGTGTGTCGCGCTGTCTGAAAAGAAATTTAATTTAGTAATCAAATGTAAAATGACACTGCATTGTTAATCATAGTTAGATTAATGCTTATTAAAGTTTAAGTTATTCATTCAAGAGCTGTGAGTGATTTTTATCAGCCTTTTGTTGTTTGATTCGCATTACTGGCTCAATCGTCACATGTTTATTAGACGGCTGCCCCTTTAAGACTGAATGCAGAACTCGACTGTAATAGATGACTGATGCACCATCATTTTCTCCCAACTATTTATGTCCAATTAAGACATAAACTGTGTTTAAATGAATCTCAGAGCAGGTCATTTTATATTTTATGTATATTTGATGGTTTAGATGCGCACATGAAGCCCAAAATGAGGCTATAGCCTACTTGTCTCGTTTTAGTGCATTTCGGAGCGCGCGTCGCCTTGTGAACAGCGTCTCTTGCGCAGACTTTTGTGCTTTTAATAGCTCTTTTAATGATTGAACGCGTCCGCAGTTTAGCAACAGTACAGACTGCATTTTACAACAATTACCGATCGTGCTGATTCTGACGGTACGTTTGGGTTTTAGGAAGAAATGACAGCGCAACGCTGTGAAGGGAAGGAAGTTGCGCTAGACAGAATGCGTCTGTAATGGTTTCATCTCAAATATCTTCTTTTTATAATCTTTGAAAGCGGAAATCTAAAATACAATTATAATAATATCCCAGATCTAAAGTGCAACCACGTTCTGTCCTCATTGTCACTCATTAAGCAGGGCTGTCGTGCTGTGCGGATTTTTATTTAAAAGAAAGAACGTAGCCTACGTTTGTAGGCTATGTAGACACAAACAACTTTCACAATACTAACTAAAATATAATTAATATTATTTTATTGAATTTGAATTAGTCGTTTGAAGAGTAAAAAAAAAAAAAATAATCGATCTGTCTGAGCGCAGGTTACAACCGGCAAGTCGGTCGGACTAAAAGGAAAAAAAAATGCGTCGGCCCTAAATTGACAGGGTCGGTCGGGTTACGGCAAACAAGAATATTTTTAAGGGTGGCCTGATGGACTAAGACTTTTGATTTTGTCTAGCTTCAAAATCCAGTTGAAGGATATCAAACTTGTCTTAATATTTTGAATCTTTTAGCAACCAGGCACATGTTTTTGTCTGTGTAGCCATCCTCTAGTCAAGCACGAGTGCCAGTTTTTCCTCTGTAACCATTTAGTGTATGATGCATCGTTTTATAATCTTGAGACGAAACAATGGCTCTGACATTTCAGTTCCAGGCTTAAGCCTTGTCTGTGAAACCGGGGGTTAGTGTAATCCAGCCTTAACAACAAAACCAGTAGATGCGTAATCACAAAATGCATTGTAATCAGACAAACTTTTATTAACATCCCTGGCTGTTTGACAGAACTTTTGTGTTTGTCTGTAGCCGTGCAGTGCGGTTCCTGTTTGAGGTGCTGAGCAGTTTTGATGGGGAGCAGCAGAGACTTTTCCTGCAGTTTGTCACAGGGAGCCCCAGACTTCCTGTCGGAGGTGTGCGACAGTTTCAATCATTGTGATTTTGGTGTGATTTTTGTGGTCCCAACAGCAGAGGGTTTCAGCTTTCAGAGAGATAACGCGGCCTTCTGTCTTTGTTGCCTTTCAGGATTCCGGAGTTTGAACCCTCCCCTCACCATCGTCCGGAAGACGTTCGAGTCGACGGAGAACCCAGACGACTTCCTCCCGTCGGTGATGACGTGTGTGAACTACCTGAAACTGCCGGATTACTCCAGCATCGAGATCATGCGCGAGAAACTGTTGATTGCTGCGCGCGAGGGCCAGCAGTCTTTCCATCTGTCTTGATCTCACCTCCTGCACCCTCACACTCAAAATGGCCTTCAATCAACTCACTGCAGAACCACACAAATCGTGACTTCTTCCTTTAGAGTTGCTCTTCCTATTTCATTTCCCCCTTTTTCATTTTTTTTTTTTTTTTTTTAAACACCCACATTGAGGCAAAATATGTACAGCCTACTTGTTTAAAGAAAAGCAGCTTGCAGAAACTAAACAATAGAACATAAGAGACTTCCTTTTGACTCCTAAACAGGAGGAAAGGGTGTTATGCGACTCATCAGATTTCAAAAAAAGAAAAGAAAACATTTTTTTTTAAAGAAATGTTTAAAAAAATAAAACACTTCAGAGCAGATTATTAAAATATATCAGTAGTTGAGAGATGTTCAATCTGAAAAAAAAAAAGAAAGGAGAAAAACCTGGGTGACATTTTAAATCTTGCGTTGCTGTCTGATGTATCAAGAATAAAGGGATGTTTTTTTTTTTTTTTTTTTTTCTCTACTGGTGAATGACATCTTCACTGTGTGTTCCTGTTGGGGAGGGGGCATTCATCAAGCCGGCGAGGGTTCCTATAGCTCCAAAGATCATTTGTACAGACAAACATTTGCAGATTTTGCTTATTCGACACATTTGATAGAATAGCTGTGTGCTCTCCTGCCCAGTTTCCCCTCTGTTCTGTACTATACCCCTGGAGTCTTGTTGCATTTTGGTTCCATTTCATTTATTTCTCTTGTGTTACTTTTCCCCCTCCTGTTTATTTGAAAGGGTTTTTGAACGTGTAAAAGAGTTCCAGTTGGTTGAATGCGGGTAGTGTTGGAAGTGTAGTATCTTTATAATATTATTATTATTATTATAATTATTATTATTATTGTTTTGTTTTGTTTTTTTAACCCAAGTTGAAATTGTTTTCTGGCCGACATTTCACATAGAGTGTCAGCTCCATGTTGAAAAGCTGTATCCATTGAGTTGGGTAAATAGACTCCTATATGGTTATAGTAGTGTGCCTCTGCTGGACTTCTGGGAACCCGAGGTCTTTAATGATGGGCCTGCTGAAGTTGCTTGGCTGATGAAGCCGGGCTTTAATCCCATAATGTAGCTGAGCACAAGAAATTCATTTAAAAGAATTGGCTGGTCTTATTTTATGGTTTCATGGCCAGATTGCATTTCAAAAAAAAAAAAGAAAAAAAAAGTTCATTAAATAAAATAAAGTTTATATGCAGGTTTCACACCCGGTTTGAGGTGGGATTGTCTGCTTTTTTTATTTTCTATTGTTTCTTTTTTTCCTCTTGCTGTAGTTTATTTTTGCACTGCTGGCTTGGAACAAACCGTGGTGTGCACTGCAGTCTGTGGCCAGGAGGAGGTGCTGCTGTGCGCTCTCCTGTCCTCATTGTTCATGTGCTGGTTTCTAAGATCTGCAATAATTTACTGCATCAGGTTCATGTTTTTACCTGAACATAAATAAAGTAATTGTTTGACTCAGCCTGTCCTTTTACTGACCAAGCCGCAGCTTAATGAGTCCAACATTGGGGCTTTGGTAATCGCTTTAGTCCTTAGTTACAAATCAGAGAAAATCCAGGTCTGGTGTGTGGTTTCATGGTTATTACTCACCACATAACCATAAAACTATATCAAATATAACCCAGGGTTCAACATTAAGCCTTTTCACGTGCTTTTGTTCTTTGGAGTTGGATCGGTCATTTAGCTTTGACATGTTCAAATCTGCATGTTCATTATATTTTAATCTTTACAAAAGGGCCTTTTCCCTAATCATTTTAAAAGCGTCATCTTTCACTTTAAATTCTTAAATTTGATCACTAAATGAAATTTAGTGAAATAATAAGACACTATATAGGGCTGTAACCAGTCAAATTATATAATTTACACTGAAAAATTATAACTGCATTAAATTATGTAATTGTTTTAAACCCTCCTATTATCCTTGGGGTCAATTTGACCCCATTCAATGTTTAACATCTGTAAAAACATAATTTTATTTATTTTTTTTTGCTTCAGATTTAATGACTTTTCCTAATTTAATGGGGCAAACTCTGTAAACATAAAATTAACCTGCTAACATTTTTTCAAAGCCCTGTACAAATTTTGTAGCATCGGTGTTCCTTGGGGTCACCGGGCTCTTTGTCAACTTAAAACGTTACTTAAGTAGTCAACAAAGACATAAATTAACTGAGACAAACCTTTGTAAAAAAAATAATCATATTGTGGAGGTTTAAATTACTGGGATCAAATTGATCCCAGAGGGTAAAAAGTGTTGTCAGATTTGAGGGTAACTGGAGGGTTAAGTATTTATTGGAATATACATAGAAGAAATCAAATGTTGGAAAGAACTTTTAAACATAAAACTAAACCGCTAGTAGATGGCAGCAGGCGACCGTCTAAATGAATGAGTGACTTGTTTATTGAACATATGAATATTGATCATGTGAACTGTTTCGCATTTTCAATGTGTATTCTGTATTTCAGTATTCTGCACTCTTGATCGTGTGATATTGCAAATGCAATAGAAAAACAAACTCGTCATGGGCTACATTCGCCACTGCCACTAAATTAATGAAGAATCATTCTCTTGTTTTGGCGATTCCCTATTTATTTATTTATTTATTTATTTATTTTTTTTGGGGGGGGGGGGGGATTGACGTTTTAATCAGGCTAACTGAGTTATCGTTCATTTTATTATATTTACATAATCAAAATAAAAATTCTTCTATATAAAAAATGAATAAAAAAAAACTAAATTTTTGGATTTAATGAATGAATGTGGACAGAAAACTCTTTTTTCGTTTAATGTAAAAGAGTTGTTTATGTCTATGAGCAAAAATCTTTAGAACGAGCCTGGCGTCGTTTGAGGAATAACATCTATGACGTCATAGAGAGAAAGCTCAGTTTTCTTACTGATAATTCTGCTGTTTTCGAAAGGCAATTATCATTGGTTTCAAAAGAAAAAATGAGTTCTGGCAGCGCTCAGGTGTTCGTGCCCCAGAGAAAGAGGAGTAGGAAGGAGAGTTTTGACGACGGACCGGAGAGAAAGATGATGAAGGAGGAGAGTTTTGACGGGGGGCTGGAGAGAAAGAGGAGGAGGGAGGAGAGTTTTGACGAGGGGCCGGAGAGAAAGAGGAGGAAGAAGGAGAGTTTTGACGAGGTTCCCCTCCTTCAGCAGGACCTAAACCGGCGGATTAGCGACGGATGCTTTAAGGTAACTTACTTACTGAGCCTAATATCAGCTATAAATGACAAGTTTGAACGTTGAGTCTTTTTTTTTTTTTTTTGCTTTTGTTTTCATATGTTGTTTATCAGTTGTGGCATAAGAACACAATCTGGAGTGAAATCTCTTTAGTTTGTTTATGTTGACAATAACCCTGTATTTCGTTATTCTTTTTTGTAGCATCAGTGTGACCGTGTTAGTGAGGGAAATGATAGTCAGGAGAGAAAGAGTAGTTTTGAAAAGCTGCCATCTTTTCATTCCTCTGAGACATTAGCCAGCCCAGGTCAGCTTCAGCAAGTGCAGGACCAGACTACTGAGAGAAGCACTGATGGTAACGTTAAATTAAATGAACATGTTATGAGTCATGTAACTGGTTACTCTGTTAACTACAGCTCTGTGCTTCAAAAACACTTTAACCTAAATATGCCCATCCATTATTGAAGAATAGGGGGATTTTCTTTTCAGAATCACGTGTCATTAATTATCATAAGAAAAAAATCCATACCTTCACACATTATTTCAAAACGCAATTGATTGAAGTTTAATTAAGGGCAGGATCCGATTTGTAATCCATTACTTTTTTTTTTCAATCTTTAAACACAGATGAAAACACATGGACAACTGGTACCACCAGCAAGAAGAGAAGTTCTCAGCCGCCTGCAAATCCGCCAAATATTTTGAGCCGGTATCAGGTTGGCAGAATACTTGGTAAGGGAGGATACGGCATCGTCTGTGAAGGGAAACGCCTGGAGGATGGCCTTGAGGTATCATTATTCTACTTACAATATTAGTGTATATTATGTCCACTTTTAGTGCACTTGTTTTGACAAATGTTTTGTTTTTTGTTGATTAGGTGGCAGTAAAAATCGCCAGAAAGGCGAGGAATATGCAGTACATTGCCATTGTAAGTTGACTACTCTTTCCATGTTCATTGACATTTTTAAATTTAAAACATGTTAACAATGTGTTCAAGACTGTGCTACTGTAAATCTTTATTTGGGAAAGCACCCCCATCTAACACTGATAAAATTATCTTTCTTCCAGCCTGGTCATCCCGCACCCCTTCCGATAGAGGTCGCCCTGTTAATCCTGGTTAACAGGGACCCTAAAGTTCCACAGATCATTCAGCTACTGGACTGGCAGGACAAGCTGGACTACTATGTCATGATTTTGGAACGCCCCTCACCCTGCACAGATCTGCATAACTACATTAACGACTTTAAAGGAACTGTCGATGAATCTGTAGCCCGACTTGTCATGTGGCAGGTAACGCACGCCGCTAACGCGTGCAGTGCCTGTGGAGTTCTCCACCGTGATATTAAGATGGAGAATCTACTGATCGATCCACAAACGTTAGAGATCAAACTGATTGACTTTGGATGCGGGGATCTCCTGAAGAAATCTGCATATGATAAATATAATGGTTTGTATTATGACTTAAAACTGTAGTTTAAGACTGTAGCATGTCCTATAAATATATTTGAAGCTTACTCATCAGACACAATGTCTTTCCTTCAGGCACAGCACAATATTGCCCCCCTGAGTTCAGAATAGAGGGCAGGTACCACGGGAATCCTGCAACTGTGTGGTCACTAGGAGTCCTCTTATTCCGAATTGTGTGTGGACACTATCCAGAAGCCATTGAACTGCTGGCGATTAAAATTGGCATTTGGAATCATCCTGACTTGTCACACGGTAAGATGCTATCCATCACAAAAAGATCAAACCTGTGCCAGGAATTCTGGAAGTTCTGAACTTACTGTTTAGAAATTCAAATCTTACAGCTTATTACAAAAATAGCAGATGTATTGTTCGAGGTTATAATCTGACTCTCCCGTCTCTCTTTGTCTCTCATCGTTCTGCACAGAATGCTGTGATCTGATTCAGCGTCTCCTGCAGCTGAAACCAAGCCGGCGGATCAGTTTGGAGGAAATCCTGCCCCACCCATGGTTTCAGTCACTGAGCCCATGATCAGCTACTAATGGCTTAGAAGAGGTATCCTATTATTATGCATTTGTTTTATATGTTGTATCTTTATTGTTTGTGACACAATTCTGAAGTCAAATCTCTCCTAAATGTAACGTATGAAGGCGATAACTTTCTTTGTTTTGTTTCAGGCCATGCTGTAAGAAAAAAAGAGATGGGATGTCCAAATGGAATCTGTTTATAATCCGTTTTGTGCTTTGTATTATAACTGCACAAAACACCACAGGCGTACCCGAGGTGGGGCAGCGCTGCGGAATGCAGGGACCCGACCCGGACGGCACAGCAGCCTGGAGTGAGGTCTGAGCGTGCGGTGCAACACGGACCTGCTTCCGTCAAAGGGCAGAGTAAGTGTGTAGAGGTGTCAGTGCGATCCGGGACACAGCCACTGCTGCTCGCTGGCGATGAAAGAGGGGCTTGGGGGGTGACAAAGCATAGCGTTGTCGACCACCAAGCGCGCAATGTTTTAGAAATTGTTCTTTTGTTAAAAATGTGCATAAATGCACGCATTAGATTACTTTTTTTGATGTCACGAGCAAAGTAACATTACTTTATAGATTTAATCATTAATATAAGTTACTTAAAAAAAAAGAAATAATATCAGTGTTTGTGACAGTGAGATCTGCGTTAACGGCCAGTGTGAGACTCTCAAGTGAAATTAAGCTTCAGAAAAAATTGTTAGACGTTGACCGATAATCGCTTAGTATTTCACAATAAATTCTAGTTCATAATAAAATGGAGTCGGGTAAGAGTTCAATTGAATTGCATCTTGCATCGAAAAGACAGAGGGCGAGATGGACGTACATTTGCGAACGCAGCGTTAGTAGCGTGATGCTATGACTGGTTGAAATGATCCTGATGCTAATGTAGCGAGGAGTTGAACAGCTGCAGGTTGTTAACAAGTCGGAGATTCTATGTCATCTTTGATTTCTTCCAGTAACTGTAATATTGCGTAGCTGCTTAATCTGTAATGGTTAATGATTTTGTAAGGCTGAAAAAAATGGTTGAAGAGAGAATATCTGACCAGTGGTCTCTGAAACAAAAGGCTCGTTGGAAATTAACATTTGACTTCCTACAACCCTTCCTCTGAGCACCTCATCTACATTTTTCTTTCACTCTCTCTCTCGCAGTCAGTAACACTTAAAACTCACACAAGAATGTTTAATGTGAATTTTATGTTTAAGGACTGTGTTTAGTATCATTTTAAAGGTCTCAGGGTGACTGGTATAGACTGGTATATCTTGCACACAGAAGGGTGTGTCTTTGAGTCAACACGTTCTGACCATTTTCCACCTTTCCTTGCAGATGGCCAACTTCTACCTCCAATAAGTCTCGGGAGGGGACCACAGTAAATTTCCACTAAACTCATGTTTTACATATGAAATGAGTTCTGGCTAAATAAGGAAAACGCAACGAGAGCTCGAGGCTCAGATCGGCCCGTGAATGCTGTGTCGTCGAGACTCAGCGTTCATGTATTTCGGTTAAAGTTCTTTGTTCTTGAACATTCGATGGTTTGCATTGATTATCTTTCAATTGATTATGGAATTGTAATAATATATTTACCTGACATAATAAATTGTTATATTTGATTATTCTAACAGACTTTGACTTTATTTTCTTTAGAGTTAAAAGGAATAGTAAAACATTAACGTATATTTAATGATGCACAGATATCATTGAAAAAAACTATTTAATTTTATGGAGTCAGATGAAACGAGTTAATACATAAGATAAAATGTATTGCATTTAATTAAAAGTTCCTTTGCCATGGGAAGAGACGGAACACGCGTGAGACCTTCACCTCTAATCGAGAACCGGCATTGGATCGATTTAGCAGGCCTTACAATTTCGTTTTTCACGCAACTGAAAAAGTGTGATTCTTGCGTGGCAAAAATCTTTTCAGCCGTCGTCTCCTTAGCCTATGTCTTCTTTTTGCTCGGATTGTTACTGCCATTTCACCAAGAGGGATATGCCATGAAACCCGCTTCCTACAGTAAGTTACGCCTGCTTTTGAGAGGCGGAAAATATTTAGCACAAAATAGAGGCGCGCTTTCACTGGCTTTTTCTGTACAACGCGGAATACACACAGTAAACATACAGTTTACGCTTCCCCTCCCATCTCTTTATGTGATCGCTTTTCAGTGTGTTTATCAACACCGTTGACTTAACGTTATTTCTTAATATATGAATATATGACCTGTCCCTAAACCTACTCGTCACTGGGGTTTATAGCGTTTATGAGGTTTTTTATGAAAAAAAAAACCCAGATGTATATCTACATTTTGCTTCGTTTCGCTCTGACATTTAAAGGCTTGTACATACACGCGGAATCACTTGGACATTAATGGCGTAAACATACGCGGATACACGCGGATAGCTTAAAATGCGTATAGATAACACGCCACTTGATTTGAAAGTGGCGTGTATGTTTACGCAAAAGTCATGATGTCATGTTGCCCCTTCACCATCCCATGAATGCATATGCATGATACGGAAAGCGCATTTAGCCATTTCAGTTCCCGTGTCAGGCAGTCTGCTCTTTCATCTCGGTGCGTCAAATTCGTACATACCTCGCCATGGTTTTATGGCACTTTGCAAAACAAATACGCCTGAAGTGGGCGCAAAAGCGTTCTGGCCCAGAATGTGCTAGAAACCTTCATCCACACCATTGGACACTGTTGTTGGGTGACAACTTGAACATTTTTTAAACTACTGAGTTAAAATTCTTTCTTCTCAATAATGTAATAACTCATGCGTGCGCAAGAACCATGTGAGAAAATAACAAAACATTACTTTCAATAAAAAGAATTGTATTTTTATGCATTGTGTTTTTATACTTGTGCTTCTTATGCATTGTGTTTTTATACTATACGATTTTTTTGCTATACTGAAAAAAAAAAAAACCATGATGTCGCAAATTTAACAAGGTCGACCTAGAGTTGGTTCAGAGGCTGTAACTTGTGAACAGTTTGTCACAAAATTATAAAATTGGTGTCTATCGATTTCTTGCGTCATGTCGAATCCGAGCATATCTATTTTGCCAGGATTGGATGTACCACGTCATAAGCTAAATTAGCATCAAGCTAGCTTAGCATGCTAATCTGGTTAGCTCTATGTGTTAATCCACGGATCCCGATGCTTAGCGGCGTGGGTTCGCCACTCAGTGTGACACGTGCCCAGACCGCATGAGGTACTGTGGCAGGAAAAGATGTGGAAGTTGCATCTGTTCCAGGCATTGTGCCTTGATCTCATCTGAAGCTGTCGCATACAACATGCAAATCTTCTACGTAAATTGAATTGTTCTTCTTCACCCAGAGTGGTTGTCAGTGGCACAAGTAGGAAAATGTGCACACATGTAATGGTAATGAGTAGTAATCTGACCAATTTTAGATGATTTAATCAAACTTTTTAAATACAATATGCTCTGCATTTTCTTCAAAATACTTAATTTTGACCTGATTGTCTCTTGAAATTATTGAATTTCGGCAGCAGTGTAGATGCATGTCTGACAAGTTGCGCAACGTAATGATGAGTGACATCACCTGACCTATAGTTTGAGTCCTGTGTGGGTCAATTTTAAATTTCAATTCATTTGAAATTGTTCATTTCAACTCTGAACCTATCTGTTCCTTATGTACATTCAATTTTTTTTTGTTCTTCCGGCTCTGCACTGCTGTTGGTGCTTAAATGCTTGCTGCGCTGCTGGACTCACAGTTCTTGCTGTTCTGCTGTAACTGATGTGATGCTGTGCTTACAGTAGGCTAATTGCAGTTCTGCTGTGCTTGCTGTACTTGTAGCTTGATGTATTATTTGCGGTGCTTTCCAGGGCTTGGCCCCGAATTGCTGCTTGCAGCTATATTTTATTTTGTTTGTATTGCTGAAATAAGTGTTTAGCTTTCTTTACCTGCATCCTATTCTACAATGGCTGCACAGCGGAAAGTTGTGTTTGAGTTGCATTCTCTAATGTACAGGTGTGAATTTGCATTTCCTTCAGCTTCAGGCTTATCAACAAGATCTTGTAGGGCACAATGTATAGTTTGTCCAATTTTAATTTGGCATTAGGCTAACAGTTTTACTGATTAAAAAACAGAGACCTCTGTCCTTCTAGGGGGGTTCGGGGGCATGCTCCCCCGTAAGAAAATTTTGTACATTTTAAGGTTAAATGCATCAATCTGGTGCACTTTGAGAGCTCAAAATTAAGAGTTTTAACCGGCTTCAAATCATGAACTGTGACATTCAACAAAGCAAAAGCCTCGACTTGAACCTGGACATTAAAGAGGGATCAAACATCTTTTTAGTTATGATATAAAGTCTATGATATAAAGACTTTATGATATAAAGTCTCTTTTAGGATGCCAAACGATTATTATAATAATGTAATAATGATTTATATAATTATTCCTATTACGTAAAATCCATATAGGCCTAGTCTATAAATGTAGGCTGCTGTATAAATGAAAATGAATATTTCAAAAGTATATTTCACTTACACTATTGTATAGGAAAATTACAATAGTTTTGTCCTAATTTCTTCACTTGCAAGAAATAAACCCTTGAGCTTTTATTTTGGAGAAAACACCAGATGAGAAGAGAGAGTAAAAGGCAAAAGCCGGATTCGAACTCGGGTCGAACGCGTCAAAGTTTGCTATCAGCACCTCACGCCCTCGCCCCACGCCACTGTAGATATTTAGTGAAAGATATCTTTTTTGCTAAAAAGACAGGCACGTAGTGCAAATGTTCGTTCTCAACTCACGGTCAAGGTCATAGGCAGCGCAGCGTCTCTCTGTGCATCGCAAAAGCCCGTGTTGACAGTTTGTTAATATAAAGCGGGAGATTACCAGATACAGTATTTTGCTCGTGCCCTGTGGGTGTTGTAGCCTAGGCAACTGTATCACGTACCGTTTGAACTGACGCGCTACTGCGATCTGTCACATTTAAAAGCGCCACAACGCTCCATATCAGGAGTAAACTTCTCTGTAGTCTGTCGGTGTCAGTGTCATCTTTTCCCGCGATTTTTCTCTGCGTCCAATCAGTAGTTAAGAGCCTGAACTTGCTTATAGTAATACAAAAAAATACAGCCCAGAAGAATGTCTAATTTAGCGTGAGATTTCTATGTTGAGCGTGAGACCGTGAGATTGAGGCTGAATGCGTGAGTGTCACGCCAGATGCGTGAGAGTTGGCAACCCTGCTGTAATTACGAGCCTTCCCTGGTGGTCTAGTGGTTAGGATTCGGCGCTCTCACCGCCGCGGCCCGGGTTCGATTCCCGGTCAGGGAATGTGAATTTTGTCCTTCAGCGATCAAACGCACAGACATTGTGCTGCAGACCAGCATGTACCAGGGAATGCATCTTGCTGCTAGACCATACAGGACTTGTGACGTGCGACGCAATTGCAAGAAGGATTCATTGCAGGCAATTCTTTCAAAACCTTGTTGTAAGTGTTACAAAACAAGTGTGTGCATATTAACCAACCAACCAACAACACCCCCGCACAAGATGAATATTGTATTATTTAAAACAGTTTCTTGCTAGGGTATGTAGCCTACCAGCCAAGGTATTTGGGACCAATTAAGTACAATCAGAGTTTGTGTTTAAATATTATTTTAAGCAGGTGTAAATTAACACATAAAAGTATTAAAAATAAAATAGAATTCAATTTAATGCCAAAGATTAATTACGTTCAATAAAAAGTGACTGGTGGTTGGTCACATGAGGGCGCCACAAATATTTTGTGTCCGTGTTCAAGGCATTGTTAGTAAACACCTATTTTATAACCTAAACCTAAAATTTAAAGGAGTAGTTTACTTTAAAAAAAACTTTTGCTGATAATTTACTCACCCCCATGTCAGCCAAGATATCTATGTCATTCTTTCCTCAGTCGAAAAGAAATTAAGGTTTTAGATGACATTCCAGGATTTTTCTCCATATAATGGACTTCAATGGGAACCAAACGGTTCAAGGTTCAAAAGACATTTTCAGTGCAAACTGCAAATGCACTGAAACAAAGAGCTCAACGATTTCAGACGATGAATAAAGGGCCTTATCAAGCGAAACGATCGCTCATTTAAAAAAAAAATAATAAAAAAAAAGTTTTATAAGCTCAAATGCTCGCCTTGCTCTGTTCTGTGATGCGCATTCGTGACTCTCCTATTCAAACTCGTTCATCAAAATGAACAAATCTTTTCCAGAGTCAACTCGTTCATTTCGTTCGTTGAATGAACCAAATGACATGAAAAAAGATTTGTTCATTTGATGAACGAGTTCGAACAGGAGAGTCACGAACGCGCATCACAGAACAGAGCAAGGCGACCATTTGAGCTTATAAAACTTAAACTTTATTTATTTATTTTTTTAAATGAGCGAACGTTTCGCTTGATAAGACCCTTATTTATCATCTGGAATCGTTTAAAGCCCTTTGAGCCCAGTTTGCACTGAAGTTTGCAGTTTAGTTCCCATTGAAGTCCATTATATGGAGAAAAATCCTGGAATGTTTTCATCAAAAACCTTAATTTCTTTTCGACTGAAGAAAGAATGACATGGACATCTTGGATGACATGGGGTTGAGTAAATTATCAGCAAAAGTTTTTTTTTAAAAGTGAACTACTCCTTTAAAAGGCAGATATACTGTATTTTCACATAGGCTATAGATAATACTGTTGAAAATTGATAAAATATTTCGTTTCTATTACATTACATCATTGCATATGTTTTTCTCCTCACTGTAGTGTACGGTGAGATGTATTTTATTTCATTTATTTTTAATGAAATGTATTATTTATTTATTTATACGTTCATGTTTACGTTTGCTGTGCTTTTTACTCTACATTTTTTTCTGTTTAGCCTACTATTTGTATTTATTTAATCATGTTTTATTTATTTCAAATGTATTAATTTTTTTTAAATAATATTTTATAAATGTTCTTGTTTTTAAACAAACTTATTTGTTTATTTATATTTTATTAAAAGTTTTTTTTTAGTTCATGTATCCATTTATTATTTATTTATTTATATAAGTACAAATATTATTTACTTATTTATTAAGTTGAAAAACGTCCTATTTAACGGCCCTGGGATCCGCACGCGCCCCTGGTGGCACCCTGGGGGTCAGAAATGCACCTGTTGCTAAATGTAACACCAGCTCTGACCACACGGTGGCGAAAGGGCCACCAGCTCTCAAATGACTGGAAATAAAACTGCGTCCTGTGGGAGAAGTTGGTAGAAACAGCGAGCATCTCGCAGTGGATTATTCAGAAATCCAACATTTCGCATTTTTGTTTTCACATCAGCTGCAAAGACACGGATTGGTGGACAGAAAAGGGGTGAGTGAGTGTATTTCGAGAGCCTGCTTTTGCTCATATGATGCTTGAGGAAATGTGTTTTGACATCAGCTTTCCCCAGTAAAAGTTAATCAGGGGTGTGCGAGAAACACAGCATCCTTACGCTAGCAATAACAAATTCTTTTCAGTGAATCCACAAATAAGATTCAATGAATTTATGTATATCGATGTGTTCAAATTTGGTCTGTTTAATTGCGGTGGTCGCGTTCACCAACATGCGTTCACTCTGAATACACAGTCACGTGCAAATGATCACAATACACTATATTTTTCAGCAAATTGAAGTTGTTTGTTAGGCAGATTTGGATTATAAGATTATTATAGCTTTAACACTAACGTTACTTTTCGCTGTGGACATGTTGATGTCTAAAGTGGCTTGAGTGATATGTAACGGGGTCATAGATTTTCTAAATTGTATGATGTTCACAATAACCTACCATTCGTGATGCCATGGGTGAAGTAAAACATTAGAAAATAATATTGGTCAAGTTCGGGTGAACCATTGAATACATTTAATTAATTATAGACCAAAAATGTCCACCCTGTTAGGAACAAATGAACAGTACAACAGTTTAAAATACGTATGATTCTAGTTTATGGACATTGTTAAAATTTTCGTTGACAAGCTCTTTTTCCTTTATAAACTTAACAGTTAATAGATTATGAGGAAATATATGTATTATGATCATTTAAGATTTTGTTTTAAGATACAAATGCTTAGAAGACTTTTCTGTTTACTTTTTAAAGTACTACATTATTGGTTTTACAATACATTTTCATTGTCACTGAAAAAGTAGTATTTATTTATTTATTTATTTATTGTTTTTTATGACAGTATTGTAAAAACAAACAGACTTCCTTACAGGGTGGACAAAATAGAAACAAGGTGGACAGGTATTGATGGATGGATGATTTCCTATCTCTCACATACAACATTACTTTTGTTTGAAATGGACTTTGATTGAAACCAAATGTAAACAATTAGAAGAACTTCTTCAACTTACATAAATGACTAAATTACTCATTAAAGTGCTCTGATTTAACTGGGTGTACGCTAACAGAGTGGACATTCTCACCTAAAATCAGCCGAGCCATTGCAGCATGTCTGAGAAAAAAGAAGCTAACATAGGTTATCAGGTAGAAGCTAACATAGGTAGGTTAACAAGGTTTATCAAAAAATAAAATTATTGATATTTTCCTTAACAGAGTGGACTTATTGAGGTTGACCACATCAAATTTGACAGATACAATTTTTAAAAAAATAAAATAAAAATTGACAGTTAAAATAATATTGTTGAATTAAAATAAAGTTGTTTGCCATCCAAAGAGGTGCTACTTTATGATATGATGCCATTTAACTTTTCCAACTTTCATGTGAAGGGAAAGTAGAAAAAAATAACTGAGTGAACATTAACTTGAGGGTCACACTAAAAACCTTTATTATAATTGTTAAAATAAATGTAATAATTGAAAAAAAAAACTATTAAAGAGTCATTACTGATATGCCCAACAATTTAGTTTATTTTGGAAAAACATCATATATAGTAGGCCTAAGTACTGTATTTATCATGAAAATGGGATATGCACGCCTGGGGACATTGGTAAAATGGTGATGCATCACAATACCAATGTATTTTCCAGAGAATCCACTGGCACACAAATCGGACTGATCTGAATCTTTGATTCAGATTGCAAAGCCTGCGCCGAAATTTTCCAAAATAATCCACAGTTAAATGTAGACTACCGAATACAAACATATAGGGGTGTAACAAAATTTGGTGTCGCAATAAAGAAATGCAACAATATCGTGGATAGTGACATTATGTATTGTGTATAATCAGAGACAATTTATATAGAGACATGCCACTTCCTCAAACCTCAGTACAACCATATAAGGAAAACCCGTAACGCCAAAGATGGCGGTTATTTTAAATATGTGCAAGCATATTCTTCTAAAATAATTCTGTATATTCATAATCATGTAGACCTTTATTTTGGTGTTCATTTACACCCCCAATGGAAAATTTTGCATTTTAGTAAACGGTAAAAAAAATGGTCTTCTTTCAATGTCTTGGGATATCGCAATAATATGGTATTGTGAGTTCAGTATCGTGATATGTATCGAATCGTGACATGTGTCGATACACCCCTACTAACAAATAAGACACTGCTGAGACATTCACATTGTTGAAAAAACAAACAAACACTTTCCTAGCATTAGGATAGTTTGGAAGGCGATGGAATTGTATCGATCTTTTCTCGTTCTCATGTCCCTATTCACTAACGCTACAGTGGGCGGAGCCAAAGACGCAGTGATGTAGACGTAGGCGTTGATATTCTTCTGCAAAGGCGGTCTTTCGCTGCCCTGTGACGTCACAAGTCTCCACTTCTGAGATCCTGTCGTTTTCTGGCCTTGGTTTCAATAAAAGCAGTTTTCGCAATAACAAGGAAGTTTTGAGATAACAAGAATGTTTTAATCAAACAGATCTCAATCCCCATTGACTACCATAGTATGTATTTTTTCCTACTATGGAAGTCAATGTGTATTGAGATTTGATTAAAACATTCTTCCAAATATCTTCCTTTGTGTTCAGCAGAACAAAAAAACACATAGAGGTTTGGAACAACTTAAGGGTGAGTAAATGATGAAAGAATTTTAAATATATTATAAATAGTTTTTCCAAATGAGAAATACAATGTTTGGCGGGAGTGCGTGACAAAAGACCAAAATGGGTGACTGTCAAGCTCAATGGGTGACACTTGAGAGCCCTGATGTGAAATAAGATAGCATTGCCATGGTCGATGAATATTAGGACATAGTATCTGACCACTGCACTGTGCAATTAGACCCTTCAGAAACAAGTATTCCATTAAAACTGTAATAATTTAGGGTATTCACTCTTAGAGTACGTTTATGCGACAATGATGGACTTTTTCCCTTGCGGTTTCACGTACAGACGACATTGTTGTTGTAGTTAGTGATATCACTTTTTAAAGAAACACTATGAGTCTATAGACTGAACACCTACGCATGCGCATTATATCAACGTTTTTGTAGTTTACGCAAGGATGATTATGCTATAGTTTTCAAAAACTTGCAATTTGAATCCCGTTTTTAAAAGTTTGCGTTTTCAGGCCCCAAAATGCTGTTGTCGTGTAAATGAACGGCCAAAACACATGAGTTTTCTGATGAGGGCGGACCAATAGCATACTGTATCCTACATTGAGGGGGCCCACACCTAATATATAATTAGTTGTTGGCCCCTTTGAATTTTTAGTGATGGCTCTAGACAGAGCTGATGTGTTTTGTTCAGGCTTGTTAAACTGCTTAAAGGTCCCGATTCACACCAAAGTTCTTTTTCATTCTTAGGCCGTGTGTCCACCAAAGCATTTTTCTACGCACCTGGCGTACGTTTTCAATTGTTTTCAATGCGAGCACCGCATTTTTTAAACGCCATGAGCGTAACGAGGCGCTGAGCGTTTTTTTCACGCTAAAGCGTCGAGCACCCACCGTTTTGTACTGGTCGCCGAGAGTTGAAGAATGTTCAACTTTGGATAAAACGCAGTGCTTATCACTGTCACTTCTTACCCAACTGTCCAATCGCAGTGGAGGAGGGGCGGGACTAATACCACACCAACCAACTGTCACAACATTCTTTCGTACAACATCAACCAGCAAAGCTAACTGAAAAAAACAAATGAAAAAAAAAAATTATATGAAACAAATTATCTGCGAAATCAGTTACTAATAAACTGTCCCGCATCTATTCTATATCATAGCAACGAAACTTCTCAATGGAAAAAATACTGCGCTGCCAAAACGCTCTCAAGCGCCCAAAGGTCGGCGTCTTCAGCAGAGCGTCTGGCGTTTTCAGCTGGCTAAAAACGCTTTGTTGGACACACGGCCTTAGGGGTAAAGAAGTTTGATATACCTATTACCAAAATACTATCCTGGCACCACCCACGCTGAATTTAGATGAATATGTAAATATGCACTGCACTCTTTCCTTTCAATAACAGACATCAATATGTAGAGGTTACGAAGCTATAGAGAATCTTGAGTCGTTCATGTACTGTAGCATTGTGTGTGTTTGTTCGGAATTCCACATTTTCCCATATCTGTTAGAAATGGTCTGTTTAGCCATGGTAGTGTTCTATGGATGTGTGTGATGGAATGAGAGAAAGGTCATTGCAAATCATGTGTATGCGTTTTATCCACTTCATGTGCAGTATATGAGTTGCTGAAAGGTTCCAGCATTGTTCGTGCATAAACTCGTTCACAGCAGCTGCAGTACTGAAGGCCATAAATAATGCAAAATCTGTGTTGGCTGTTAATGCTGATTCCTTCATGAGCATATTTAGCAAATTATAATGTTCTCCTTTTTTGAGTTCCTGTGTAGTTCAGTACATGTCTTCCTGACACTTTTCTGCAGCATCTGCATAATGAGATAATGTAAATGCAAACATTGCTCTTATGCCAGTGTGTGTGACCCACTTTGCAACGAAAATGTGTGAAAGGGAAAAACTCGCAAAATCAACACGTGCCTGTTCATGTTTGCATGGAAATGAGAAATTAGGGCTGTAAAAATGTGCTTAAATGTTTCAAACCTTAAATTATTCAAATTATTATACTTTTTAAAATGCTTTTATTATTAAGACAGACACCATTTTAAATAGTTTTCTCAGTCATTTGTTCGGACAGTTGTGACACCTGACATTTTGGGGTTTAAGATAACAAAACATAAAATAGTTTGCATTATTTGAATTTACTAAAAAATGAATTCAAACTAAATGGGCTTTATAGAAAAAAGTGATGTCATTGACTGATTAAACCCGCAGGCCATATATTTATTTAGCCTAATTAAATCGCAGCCTTTGTAAATTCACAATACCACTATGCTGTGGTATGGTATGTAAATGTTTTTAATACATCTTGCAGCCTTAGAAAACGGATATATAATGCTGTTCATGGATTCTCGTCC